TAACATCCTGTTTTGGAATACTTGCTTTTGAGGCGGGAGTGCTCCATTGTGGAGCGCTAGCTACATGTTGAAGTATTTTTCCACAGTGCAGTGACTGCAGATTTCCATGCCTGTCACCCCTCAAACACTGCTGAGCATTATTTGTGGCAGTAAGAGTGGCAAGCATCCTTGAGAGATCTGAAAAATATGAGCTGTTTCCTTGTCTTTTTAAATAACATAGGGATAAATTTGAATAGAATATGTATTCATTGTAGTTCAGTTGGAGATTTCTACTCAGTCCTAAAGGAACCCTTCTTGTCACCTTGGTTTAAGGTGCCAAGCAGGTTTGGAGGTTACACATTTCTGAGTGCAACTTCTGAGGCCTGTTTGAAGACAATTAAGTATTTTGATCTAAACAATTTTATGATAATAAAATGTGAGATGGAGCAATTGATTCCCCCATACCCTGCTAGAAGAAAAAAATCTTGTTTGGTTTGTTGACTCAAATAAATCAGTAAGAAAACCATCAGATGGAGCGAGCCTTCTCAGGAGCACTGATCTGGCAGGAGAAGTAGGCTGCTTCCCTCCCCTTGTTCTCTAACACTTCCACCCAGTCCACCTTGCCCTTCCTCCATCCAGAGACTGAACTGCATGCCCTCCTCCCTGCCATGCCTGCTTTCCGCAAGAACCCACCCGGACAGAGGTTTGGGCAATCTGTGTGAAACTGCAAGAGCCTGCAAGAGCCATCTACCTCCACTTCAAGGCGCCCTATCTCATATGTCTGTCCTTTGATTTGCTCCAGGTAAATACAATGAAATAGAAAGAAGCACTGAAAAGCAGAAAGGAAGCAGAGCTAGGTGACTACTGCCTATGGTATCCCTGGAATGGTTTTTCCTGTCCTCCTGCTGCAGTTTCCAGCCTGTTGTCTTCCATTTTGTTTGCCATTCCTTAATTTCTGGCCATAAACTCTTTAGCATGCAACCTCCTCCTCACAGCAGCGCTTGTGCGACTGTCTGCAGATGCTAATGAAGAGCAGCTTCTCCCATGGCTCCATGTTTATTAGTATGGGGACCATAGAGATTACCTCATTTTTAGCATCTCTTTTGCGGTAGCTCTGAAAGTTTGTGATGTAGAAGCACCAAGTGGACCTTTGTTCATTTGTTCACAGCACAGCCCCAAGATAAATTCTCCTACGTAACTTTTTACGTGCTGGCAGTGTGCGTATTTATTGCTCAATATTTTGCATGGTATTTTCATTTGGAATTGACATTTTGTGTGACATTTTACACTGGAACAATAGATGGGCAAAATTGAAATTTCAAGACTGAAATTCCGAGTCTGTTACTAAGAATTAGTAGTAGTCTTAATCTATTTTAAATAACTTGTGTCTTCTATAAATTCTTGTCTGATTGCATCTTTTCAAGAAAATGGGATTAAATGCATTTTGAAGATGGGAGGGGGCTGATTGGTATGGACGTGCTGGTTTGCAAACTTGTGGAGCAGCTGTCCTACTCACGGGTGACAACAAGAGGGCTCAGATGGAGGGGTCTGTGCTGCTGGAGACATGACCAGCTTTCTCAGGAGACTGCTTTCAGAAGGATTGCAGCAATATTGCATCCCCATCATTACTAGTGGGTATTGCTGCACACGTGTATAATTTGTGCTAGATAAAATCAGGAGGTAATAAAGGGAGGTAAAAAAGAAGAGAAGAAATGAGAGCTCTCTTATGTGTTTTTCTTTTCCTTAAGCAGAAAAAAAACGTCCTGGGGATGCCACATTAACTCAAGAAAAGCATGAGCTGCTTTAAATCAGAAAACTTGCATTGCACCACGTCCTTTAGTTTGGGAACCATTTCAGCATGTTATGAAGGAAAGTTGCAGACTAGGCATGTTTACTAGACCTTTAATTGCTACACTTAGTGTAAAGCCTTTTTTTTTTTTTTTTCCTTTCCCTCCCCTTTTTAACGACAAGAAGCCAGAGTTTGCTGTGCAAATGAAGCAGGCTTTGCGAGAATCAGATTCACTTTGGACGACTCTTCACATTCGTAGTCATCATTACATTAGGCAGCACAATCCCATCTCTGGCTGATGGGCAGCAAAAGTGGGCAGCCTGCCAGGTAGACGTTTCCATGGCTCCCAACCCCCAAAGGTGATGCGTTTTTCAGCTAATTCAATGAAGAGTGGGCTGAACTTTGGGTCTAAACTAGACAATAGCTGCCTTCGCAGTATCAGCAGAATGGTTTATGGGAATGCACTCCACATTTGGCAGAGCATCATGTGACCTTACGGCTGAGATTTTGTGATGGTGCCAACGGAGACTTGGAAAGCAGCACTCGTTCTGACTTTTTTCCTCATTTCTTACATGGCTCAGAAAATGGTGGATCTTAATACTTGACTTTAGCCAGACTCAGCAAGCGATTGAGCTTTGAAGCACAACTTTGCCTTTATTCTGGCTTTTTTGGCACACCACCAGGAGGCTGTCCCTTTCACGCCTGATAAATTCTGCTTCTTATCTCCAAATAGAAAAAAGAAAAAAAGAAAGAAAGAAAGAAAATATAAGCAGAATATTTAGACTTCATAACTGCATTTTTAAACTACGTGTTGTATTTTCTTATTGCTGATCTGTAGTTCAGAACAGCCCTCCTGAGTGTCTGAAGGATAAAAGTGATTTGTTTTTTTTTTCCTTTTTTTTTTTTTTCTCCCCGTGTTTAATGAACAGGCGTTTGAACTGGGCAAATGGGGCGACAGCATTGAACATGAGCTCATTGCAGCATAGTGTAGCAAACTGGCACCCTGCCTTTTCACCCCTTTGCTTCGGCAGATTTGTGCAATCCCCATTTATAAAACCAGCACAGGGGCGAGGTGAATTTTCTGGTCTCTCCCCACCTCTCGCACTGTGCAGGCGGTGGCGGCAAGGATTGGTGCAGCTTTTGCGCAGTGCTTTGTGCCTGGAATTCCGAGAAGAGCGAGAGAGAAGACAGGCATCCTGGTCTTCTTCCGAGAAATAACAGGAGCCCTCAGAAGAAGAAACAAATCTGAGTTTGTCCTACATACAAGAGTGCAGAAAAAAAAAAGTGGCTCTCCTGCTTCCAAAAAAAAACCTGGCATGTTTCACTGCAGAGACATCAGGATGTGTTAGAGCTTCTTAAAGCAGTGTAGCAAAATGAGCCCAGGAGATTGATTCTTTCAGTAAAAACAAAAGAGAAAGAAGGCAATTTTTTTGTTTGTTTGTTTTGCTATTGCTAATATAGCAAAATTTGGCACTGGGTGAAAACGTACCTTTCATATCAGGTATAGCTTCTTTTCCTTTTTTTCCTTTTTTTTTGTTCCATTTTAAACGTTGTTTTGAAACTGAGTCCTTGTGTATTAATTTTAACATAGCCATTCACACTTTTTTAAAACTAACTTTTTGGGGCTGTGTTTAAGCTAATGCTGCTAAAAATAGAAAGTAAACAAAAATCGAGGATCTGTGGAAATGAGCGCTTAGGCACATTTTATCTTAGCTAAGCACTGGAGTTAAGCAAAGATTGTAATGTTACATTTATTCAGTATAAGCTTTAGTTCTTGCTACGAAAGTTGTGGGTATTTCGATCTGGTTGCTAAGGAAAGTAAATTCTTTTTTTATAGTGTGACTCATGCTTTCGGTTTCTAAACAGAGGAAGAAAAAATTTTGCTAACCGGTAGGAAAGGCTCGCTCTTGTATCAAGTATATTAAATTTATGTTTGAGTTAATTTGTATATGAGTTCCTTACAATTTTGTATATAAATCCACTACAAAGAAATCACTGTAATAAGCCCTGGAATAAAAGGCACATTATTGGGACGTTCATGAAGTAAGCCTGGCTTGCAGCTTAACAGTGACTATTTTAAGATGTTCGGTAAAGCGGCATTTGTCCAGGAATAGCTGAAAACAGTATTTAAGATATCCATTCAGAGTGTTTGTGATAACTGCATGTGAAGTTAAAGCAAGTTTGGAGCATATGACGCTTTAGCAGTAGACCCTATTTGTTACAACATTTGTCTGTCTTTTGTAACATATTACTTGGCAGTTAGAGCAGTCTGTAGCAAAATTCAGTTTGACTGACGTATTTTAAAATGCTCAGTCAAATCAGTCTTTTATCTGTTTGGGATTCTTTATTTATTTATTTTCCTGGTCTTTTAAAATTATATTTAAAGTACAGAAATCTTCAGCTAGAAATTACTTTGAAACGTGCAATGTCTTTTTCATCAGAAACTCTGATGTATTTATCAAAATGTTCGTGATAGATGCTTGTCTAATGAAAAGGCTATAAATATTTTGTGGCTTCACAAAATAGAATTGCTTTTTAATACTTCGCTTTTTATGCATTAGTGCTTCGATAGTAAGTCCAAAGATCCAATGCTAATTTTGCTACCTTATATTTTTGTTGTTCTGCAATGAATTCTGGGAAATTATGGATGGAGATCTTATGTATATGACACATATACCTCCATGCACCCATTTTGTACAAGAAACCGTTCCTTAGATTTATAATGATACTTCCCTCTGGAGTCGTGTTTTTTGGAATAATTCTGTGTCATTACTGTCTATATCTGTTGAGAAGCCTATGCTTTCATTTGCTTAAAAGAACTTTTAAAAATTTCTATAGTTCGTGATATTAATAGTATTTATTCCCTTAAGTTTTGCAACATTTCTTGATTTAAGCCATAGCCTTTGTGTGCAGTTCCGTACCAAACTATCTTGTTGTATTCACCATTTGATAAAAACTCTTCATTTTTGTGAAGCATTCTTCACTTCTGGTATTCCTCTTAAAAATGAAATATTTGTGAGGTGCAATAGGATTAGGAAATGCTAAATGAAATCGTCCGTTTGTCAAAGTGTGTGTTGACAGCATGTCTTCCCATGGCCCTGAGAGGGGCGTAAGCAGTGTGTCAGTTTTATATATTAAAGGCATAATTTCTAATTTTTTCTGTAGGTTTCCTGTTGTTCTGGAAGCACTTTCCATAGAATAGCTATTTCAAAATCTTTCTCTCTCATTCATTTTAGTGAAAGAAAAAATTTCAAAAGAAAAAGGAAACTGAAGAAATTAATTGTACCAGAGCAGAATCCAGCGAAGGTAATACAGTGATCTTAAATAATTTTCCTGTTATAAATTAAAGTTCATGACAATAACATGAAGCAGATTAGCTTTAATAGAATTTCCTTCCTTTCCTTCCTACAAATATCATTTTATAGATACGTATAAAACCTTTGCTGTGATTACTTTCTGTTGGGATTATTGCAGTTTGGGTAGCCCTTATTGTTTCCATGAAGCTTTAGAATAGATTGAAAGATCAAAATACAAGTTATTCTCTTGTTATGCCTAGTAAATATGTTTCACAAATACATGTACTGCTATATTTATATTACTAGTATATTTATCGAACAAATACATTTACTAGTAAATGAGTATACTAGATCAAGTCCTTGTGAAATGTGGAATGCCTCTTCTATTTACAAATAAGAAAAAAGAAAAAGAGAAGCCATTTTATAGCACTTACTAGAATCATTCAGTAAATTAAATATGCAGTCTACATACTTATTTCTGATACTAGGAGAAATGTACTTTGAGGTTTGCCTTACTTATTCTCTCAAGCGTCAGCAGAAAATAATTACAATAATTACTTTTGAATGCTGAAGCGTTGTGTATGATGTGAAAGCAGGTTTAAAACATACTGCTCTACAATAAAAAGGAGTTGACACTATTTTTAAAATGCAGAAGAGTATACTGGAAAATGTAGCATTTAAATCAACTAAATTAAAAAATAAAAGGTCCATTTAGTAATGTTCAGCTGTCATTACTGAACCAGAAATACATGTTACAGTTTGCAAGAAAGTGAAGCATTGGCCTGATTCAAAAACTTTGTTATTGACAGCGCTCGTTCTCTTAAAAGGAGTTTTACCCTACAAATGATGACAGAATTAGGCCTTCAGTGGAAAACAGTGGAAGTCAGGCATTAAAAACTTATTCAGATACAGACTTCAGTAAGCTGTTAAAATCAGAAGCGACTGTTCTATAGTACCTGTTTTTAAATTTATATCAGCTTCTTATGCCTGCTGTGTCAGATATTATGCTTTATGATGCAGTGCTTATAAATGCTTTCCTTTAAAACATATAAGACCACATCTGTGTCTCACCTTTTTACGTTACTGATCGTTACTGATCTTTTTCAGTAGGACATCCTACATTTAGGGACTGATAATTTATATTTCACTGCTTACTGGTCACAAGAAGAAAGCATTTGTTGTAGGAGTTAACCCTGAAGTTTTGCAAGATTGCTTTTCTACTTCAACTGCAATCTTATTATTAGAGAATAGCATTGATGGGAGGATTAGTGAATAAAATATACAGATTAACTTCTTTGCTTTGATTAATAGGCATTGTTTAATCAACAAGTTATAGTTAATCAGTACTTAGATACCCTGTAGAATGAAGAAATAGCTAAGCACTCTTTTTAACGTTGTATGAGAGCTGCAATCCAGTGTGCCTCATTGCATTTCAGATTTAGTGGGGTGATGTTTATTTTAAGTTGCAGAACAAAATGTGGACTCAGGCACAGAATACAAACCTTTATTGTTCACTATTATGCCACATACAATTTTGGATTCTGGTCTTGCAGGCTGTGTGCTGTAGTATGATTCAGTTCCAGTTGTTGCGATTTGAGAGTTCATGTGTAACACGAAGTGTGCTCAATAGAATATTAATTCCAGCCAAAGTCAAAACAGTGGTGCATCCACCACTTACGCAGTTTTAAGTAGCCTTCTTTATGATTGCAATATTTTTACTCTCAAATACTTGTCCTTACAGTTGCTTTCTATGTTTGTTTGTTTAAAGTCTTCTGTGTCTAACTTTAAAAGGAAAATGCTAATCAGTGATGCCAATTGGCATAAACCCGTAGATCCGATCTTGTGTTGAAACGCACCGCACAAGCTCGCTTCTATGGGTCTGTGTCAGTATGGTGATCTGGCAAAAGTTTATGTAGCATGCACTTCAGTGGAATTTGACAACAGACCCAAGTGAGCATTTCAAACAAAACTATATATTGTTTTTGGAATGCTTCTCTTGTCTATTGCCTCTTCTTCAAATTTAAGTGACTTGTTCTGTCAGCTGTAGCTTTAAGTACCTTTGGCTTAATATCTTATTAAAATTTAAAGAGAGATGTGAGGGAATTGTAACGTTTTCAGTGAGGAAGAGTAGGGTGTACCATTTGCCATTTTTAATAAATAAAACATTACAAGGGATTACGCTAGAAAAAAAAGATATTTACATTTACATTTGAATTTTATTGTAAAATAAGAACAAATGGTTGTTTCTTTCAAAAAATGTAGTTGCATCATTCCTATCAAATAAGTACGTATAAATACATACATAGAAACACACATTATACATACATTATATATTTATATGCATAAAAACATAATATAAAATAATCTCTACCTAGTTGAAAAATCTGTCTAAGAGTATACTTTGTCATCTGAAAAAATGGGGAATAACTGCAGACTATTTCAACAGCTGAAAGCCTACCCCCATGGGAAATATATAGGCCTGTGGCTGCTGTCACATTTCAAAGAAAGGCTGAAGAAGTGAAGAAGACTTTATGGTCACCGTCGGAAGCTGTGTGCATCCGGGTTGAGGTAGTAGGTTGTATGGTTTAGAGTTACACCCTGGGAGTTAACTGTACAACCTTCTAGCTTTCCTTGGAGCACACTTGAGCCATCGAGGAATTCATCATCACTTTAATCTGATCAGGGAAAGTATGCAAAAAGGTATTGTGTCATGGCTGTGCAAAATAATCACTCTGAGGCTTTACTGATGTTGAAATAGTCCTGATTACTTGATTATTTTATTTGCATCCTGTTATGAACAATTCTAACATGTTGTCTTAATGGACTGTGACTATTTACTGTAGACACTTAGGAAAGACTGATGATCATTTTAATTTCATTAACAGAAAACCTTAAAATTTTCTTTTGATTTATAAATTCATAAATAATATCAAGTATTTAATGCTTTATCCTTTCTCCATAGAAATAGGTTATCTTGCAAAGTTGATTGTTCAATTTTTTTTTACGTTCAGATGCACATTATTAAAGGGAAAAGTACAAATATTTATGTCCTTATAACACTTTCCAAAAATACTGCATGTTGCTGATTGGATAGCAAGGGGCAGTATCACAGGTTGGTCTTCATCTTCTTTGGGTTTATGATTTGCTTTCTTTGTACATACACAACTCAGTGTTACAAAGACACTGCCATACCACCTATGTTTTCACTGCTTCCTGATTCATATGCCTCTCAGCCTGATCTCATTCTGAAGTCTCAGCATCCGTGTCCTGACACAGCTTATCAGCCTATCTGAGTCCTGACTCATGATGCTGCTGTTATTTATGGCCCCTACTGAAATTCTAACACATCTTTGTTAGCTGGCAGGACTTTGAGAAGTCATGTGCCCTATGTGAGCTATTCTGAAGTGCTGGGTACCTCTTCAAGGCAGCACAATGTCCCAGTGCTACCCAGTTGTGGCACACCATTTTTAAAGACATGGGACCAGAATTCACTAGAAGGTATTTTATCTCAGTCAGAACTGAAGAATTGAAGATGAAGGTATGCTTATGGAGCTCTGCTGTTGTTTATGTTTTAAGTAGTACAGTTGTACATTCCTGTTTCATGTTTTTTTCAATCTTCTTTATCTTGGGGAAAAAAGAAGGAAAAAAAAAAAAACACGAGATGTATACATCTCATAAGGTAGTACTTATCAAAGAAAGGATAGTGAGTCTTTTCACAGTTCTGGCATTCCTAGAAGCAGGTATGAAATGAAAGGGACAAGGATGATGCTGGTTTATCAGCCATGATTCTTCACGTGAGGCCTTAAAGACGAGTTCAATCCCATCAATGTGATAGAAGGCATTAGCACCACAAAAAGAGCACCTGGACCAGCCAGTGGCACTCTGTGAAAAACTGATTCTGTCCTCTATAAACAGGGAAAATCTTCATCATTTTTTATTAGTAATGGTAATAGCAATAATTTTGCCTATAAATAATTTAAGATCTGCTGAGAAAAGGCAGAAGAGTTGAGCCATGCCTCCATGGTGCAGTGGCTGTAGGAGTGCTGTTGATGAGGGATGTAGGTACGTCAGATCCCTGTGGGCCAAGGAGAGAGTGAAACATGACTGTCCCTCACAGCACCACGGACTGTGATCCTACAGTTCCCAACTTATCAGCAAATAGTTCTTTCTACAGGGCTTTTTGTAGCATGGCATTTGTTGCTTTACTTTTATTGCATGCAACCAGAACACAATGTTTGATATTGTCAGCATTCATTTTTTTTCCTGCAGCATGAAAAGTTGAGGATTCTTGTTTTAAGTGGATTCGATGCTTGCTCATATTGTGCTTATTGTTCTCTTTTCAGTTCTGTTCAAAAAATCAGTTACTTACAGATGCTATGTTTGACTTTTTCTACTCCACTGTAAGGCTTGCCTAACCGCTCTCCCAGATAACAAATAAAAGGAGGAGATGAAAATAGATTTAGTCTCTTTTTAATAGCAGTTATTTTCAGTGATTAATATTTGTAATAGGAAATTGATAAAGAGGATCTGTGTGACAGTTAGAGGGATGTACAGTGGATTTTATTGTGTAAGGGAAAGAGAGAGGATGTTGAGTGAATCAGAGCTACTCCAAGCTAATAGAAAATGCTTAATGGGGCAGAGACTAAACAGGGATATAGTGAGTAGACCTTCATGAACCAAGGATGCTTAACAGAGGCCACTCACAACCTGAATAAAAGCTGTAATATCCTCTGTAGATTCAAAAAGACCCTGGTCACCAGCATGTTTTCTTCCCCTTCTATTTTAAAAATATTCTTCTATAGTGTAAGTCCACTGTAATTGTAATTGCTGTTTTCCGCCAACAGAGCAACAGGTGTTCAATCTTTTTATATTAATTCTTCAATTAGTTGCAAAATACGAGAGACTTTTTATTCTGAGCTGAACCAAATAGAAATGACTGATGCAGAAAATGTGGGACTGTTTCATCTGTCTTTCAAATGCACGATAAATTTGTAATTCTATCAGGCACAG